TATTGAAATAAATGATGTAAAATAAAAATCGAATGAAACCAATTAAAATTATGCTTAATAAAACTTTGTACAAGAATATACTTAAAAAATGCTTTGGATATCCATTTATTCAAATATATAAAATAATTAATTATTTAATTCATGAGCCAAATGAAATGATTTACAGAAAAATTTGTCTACTGAAATAAATTAATATAATTCTCTTACATATTGTTCAGCCAAATACCATGATATTGTATTGTATACTTTAATCATAATTCTTCAAATGGTTTATATGAAAAACACCTAACTCTATTTTGGATTATCTTGTATACAGATTGTTCTCCACACGCTGTCGACTTCAACTGTAATTTATGGCAACTCGTCGCTATGTATTGCCACCGTGCATCACCATCGTAAGACAATGGGACAATGAGTGTGGCATATGCGTGTATATGGTTAACGGAATACCATTGACTCAAATATTGATTCGACATTGACACACACCATCCTTCCTTCCTTCCTTCTCTTCTCACCGCACATGTACGGACGGCCAGAAGGAATACATGTATATGTATATTGTATGTATGTATTTTCTTGCTGCAACGTTCGAGGTTGCGCCCTCCCTATTTCTATGCATTACACCCGCCACACGAAGTAGCATCGACGATGGAATTTAAAATGAAACGAAACGCCTGAAAAATTAAACACCTCCCATTGACCGCTGAACATGAGTCGAAAAAATATTTTTTTCACTTCCTCAATATTCGCATTACGTGAAATATAAATCCCGAGCCAAAGAAACTTCTTAATGCGATCAGCTCAATCCTTCAAAGTTACTTCAAGCGTTTAGCGCAATTTTAACGAAAATATGAAACGCGTGATTAAACAGTCGCACTTAAAAAGACTTTATTAAAATTTTTAGAAATGCAATTCGTTCATTTTCTTCACTGAATAGTTTGATATTAACAAAAATTAAAACTGATTACTTGGACAATAAAAGTTTTTAATGAAACTGAATTTTCTGAGATATGAAAGACGAGACTTTTTGAAATATTAAACTAATTAGACGATTTTTGGATAGCAACCCTCATAAGACGGTTGAACATGCGACAGCGAATCGCCTCCCTAAATGCGATGCTTGTCCACGTACTATGATAACAGTGACAATTTCTCAATAGACAGCAAATTCTTACATCGACATGAACTGTACTCGGGGAAAGTAATCAGAACACTTTTTTCCCAGAGCTGAAGATTTAAGAAAATTGCTGGTTCGCAAGTAGAAGAGAAAACTAGTCATAAAACGCTGTTACGACTCGAGAAGAAAAATGGACGAACAGAACATGTAAAATAGCGACCGAAGCAAAGAACGACAAGCTACGTTAGTCTAATAATTCAACCTGAATCTTTAATGTTACCTCCTCCTACTCCCCCCCCCCCGGTGATTTCTGTCTTGCCGTCGCTAGCGTTGAATCGCTCTCGTAGTATGGCGCATGGAAATGCATTTTTCAATCGACACGTACGTACGCATATCCACATGCATACACACGTACAACAGAATAGCTGTTGTTTGTTTCATGCATACTTTATTTCAATATAGCGCTTATCCCCGCGTGCATCATCATCATCATCAGTCGAAACTGATTCGAGAGAAGGGAAAAATTGAACTTTTTAGAAAATTACGGGTCTATTATGTCTGTTCTTCACTTATGATACACAATAATGATTAACGAGTGGATCGAGATAGGTATCATTAGAACATTACACACGTTCTCATGGGAATTAACGATCACTATCAGAAATAGTGGATGAGTTAATTTTACCGGATTTTATTACTTTGACGTACTTATTACCATGAGCTTTATCAAGATATGATTGAACAGTAGCTGTGTTCAATCAGTGGAGCTTTTTTCCTCCGATACAAATGGGTTAAGTAAGGGATAAATGGTAGTAAAAACAGTGCGGATTTGTAGTTGACGTTCGAAATGAAACGGCGCGACGCGACACGGCGAAGACATCGATCTTGACGTATTTATACAAGCGGCTGTGTTTGACGTTTAACAATGAGAACCGATATCAGCTCGTCGTTGCGCTAATACAAACGCAATTTATTTCCGCGAGTCGAATGATCGGATCGGGCAACAATCTGTCGGGAGAATAGAATCAGAAGAGGCATGCAACTACGGCCAAGTAATACGTAACGACGCGATACGAGGGATAGACGAGTTTAGCATAAACGGAAATCGATATTACGACGCGCCCGAAATCGATACGCATGACGCGCCCCTCCTCGCGAGAGTTAAATAATTTCACCTCCTACATTTGTGATTCAGAATTTACTGAAAGAACGAAGGATTTCTATTTCATTAAAAAGTACCTATTATTCCTCATTCCTCTTTCTTCCTTTTCCGTTTCCCGTTAGATGCGTGCCTCGTTTGTCCTCACTCACAGGTCGAACGACTGGATCGAGAAATGAATTCCGGTAGGAGAGGAAAGAGGTCGATTCCCAACGTTCTTTTTCTTCTACCGATACCTTTCTGATTACAATCCAACCAGGAAGACGTAGCTACCCTTGATGTCGCGCTTAAGCGTGTATTTTTCCATTTAAGGACTCACCGATTCGCCCAGCTGCACGCTGTGTTCTTTGAAACGAGCTTTACTTCTCTCTCTTCCCTCATTTTATATCCTCATTTCAAAGTCCGCTTAAGACGGTCGTGATACAAACCGATAAGGAAAATGAACAGACGAGGGAAATAGAAATTCGACCTGATTCAGAGGACGATTTTGTTCGTTTGATTACAGGCGTTCGAGGAACTAGAAGAGCTTCTGGGCAAGTACGACATATGTATCGCCATCAAGGAGAAATTGGTGAAAGATTCCGGTGTAGCGGAGGAAACGGCTTACGACAATATCGTTTTGAAATTGTTAACAAAACCGAGAGCTCGAGGTAAGTTCATTTTGCCTTCTCGAAGCATTTACACTGAAAAATATCCAGGAATCATATGAAATGTAAAATTCCTATAAAATATTCGTTCCGAAATAATTAAAACGTTAATTAGTTGCGTATTGTTCAACTCGAAAATGTTCTGTTGGAATTATCAGAAAATGGATTGTGATTGAATATTCGACGGGAATACCAGAGACAATTTAATTATGAATAGTCGAAAGAAATTATGAAAATGTTCTAGGTTGTATTATATATTTATGACCTGAACATAAATTTCTGAAATAAGTAACGACCAGGTAACAAATGATTTTGAAATATTAAACCTCTCTCTGATTTGAATTAAAAATCTCACAAATCCAAAGATATACGTGATTATAGATTTACGCGCTGCAACCACATTGCATAAAGTCACGTAAACATTGAATAAAATCGCTAAGAAAAATATTTATTTATTAATAATTGGAATGTCTCTTCAAAACGTAACAAGTTTATAGAGAGATTTTTCCCTATATTTGTACTTTGTGATTTAAAAGATTCCGAGAAATTTTTAACACTTATATTTATAACTCGCGAAAAATTCATGTATAAGGTACTTTCTCGTATTCATACACGTACTGTAATATTCAATCGAGAGATGTACGAAAAGGATTTCTCAAGACGTATCATGATTTTCATGAAAGCATTGAAATATCTATTATATGTAGAAGACTTCTTTATGTATTTATACACGTATACATTTTTGTGTGAAACATCAAGACCTCTGTAGTAGGACACGATTTTAAGGATGTATTGGCTATACAGTCAATCCCAAGAGTTTATGTACCTTAGAAAAACGCATTTCCTATAATTA